TGCATTGGCAAATAAATTATATTAAAAAAACCGTAATACTAGAACTAATTAAAACTAAACTAAACTAAAACTAAGCATTAAAAATGAAATGATAACTAATAAAAAAAAAACTAGCAAATCCACGGTGAAAACTAATTAAAACTAAACTAAACTAAAACTAAGCATTAAAAATGAAATGATAACTAATAAAAAAAAAACTAGCAAATCCACGGTGAAAACTAATTAAAACTAATTGAATTAAAAGAAAAAAAAGCCACAACAAAATAAAACTAAACAATTGTAGGAAAAAAGTGTTGTTCAAAATGGTATGTCCGAATAAACATGAATCAGCTGGATTTCATCTTAAAACTTTATTTTCAATCTTCTGACTCCAATCAGGTTCACAGTACAGCACTCAGCACASAGGCCTCAGTAAGACCTTGGGCTGAACCAAAACACAGCAGCTCTGCTCTGAAGCAGAAACTGTGCAACCCACTGACAACTTCTTCCTCTATCATAATGAATATAATGTACATCTCTTCTTGGTTACATCCCTGGAGGTGTTACATTTTACATCAGATGTCAGAACGTAACTCATTTTGTTTAGACTAACGAAMGAACACAGGATAAGACAAAGCAACTCCTTGTCTGCTTTAACCTTACAGGCTGAAATGGTCAGAAGTATAAAATACAATCTAACATTCAATTAATTGGTTACAAAATTTCCTTCAATCCCTCTCTTTGACATACATAAAATATGTCAAAACTATAAGGAAATTTTATGAAAACTTTATAAAGATGAGCTTTAACATCTATTTATGACATCAGGATATTTCTAAACATTTCCCAACCCCAGAAATTCAATTTTTAATCCTGCARACATAAAAATATTTATCATTAGGGTGACCAGTCTTGTAWCTTTTTCCACTCTTGTAACTCCTCCTCTCCTTCCACAGAATTAAGACTCATAATACTCTCTTTACACTCTTGTTTATTCTTTTCTGTCCATTTCTTTTTATTCTTTGCCCAGAGGTTCCAGAGCTTTGTGCGATAATCYAAAAGCTCATTTTCTCATCCATCCTCTATTCTTAGTTGATGGCTTAGTGTTCTCTGGTGGAGGAGAAGTAATGGTCAGTTTTTCTTCAGTTGTAGGTTGGGGGAACATATGTTTTGGTTCCTCTGTTTGTGACGCTGATGAAACCAGACGTTTTTCCGGTTCTGCAGCTTGAAGTAACTCCTCTCTCTGTGGTTCTGGTTCTGCAGCAGTCTTCTTATCAGCCACTTGCACGCTGTTTTCCATCGATGTCTCAGTTGACTCCTGTTTTCCTTCAAGCCTCAGATGTTAGCTGATCACACTCCTGTTTTTTGGTTCCAGCCGGAACTTGGTTCAGGAAATACTTCATGTTTGAAACTAACAGCTCAGCTCCAGTTCTATTCAAAGCCATTCCATCAGACTTGAACAGATGTTGTCTCTCCCAAAAGAGATCAAAGTTATCCACATATCTCACAGAGTGGTCAGCACAGGACGTTTCCAAAAAACCAKTAAGAGCSAACASTCTACTGAACCTCTCATCACCTACTTCTGCTGTMGGAATTGGTCCACTGATCAATACATCCATGTTGAGATTCTTCACTGCATTCAGCAACTGAATGAAATCCTTCTTCAGGATTTCTGATTGTCAATTCATAACTTCATCACTTCCTGTATGAATGATGAGGGTCTTCAGAGCTGGATACTCAGCTGTGATTTCCAGAATCTTCTCTGCGAGGTCAGACACTTTATCAGCAAATCTCAGAACTTTGACTTTTTTCTTTTTCCAGAAGCCTCTGATCTCATTCACCATTTTATCKAACCACCGTGGGGGATGGGGTCTGACGCACCCACAGTTGTGCGACCAGGTTTTTCTTTCTAAACATAATATGAATGCCGTATGCTGTCTACAGTTGAAAACACAATAGTTACAAATGGGTGAACAGGTACAATAAGGCTGGAATATGATACCATCTGAGGCCACCACCACCTGATTTACACAAACCACCAAGACTCAGCATGTATTCAGTGTTTGGTCAGTTTAACTGTCTGCACTCATCAACAACTGAACACCAAATGTTTCTGTTGTAATGCAATAATACTCAAACCATATTAACTAAGATTATGTTAGCCTTCATTCAATCATGTACCGTATTAGCCCTTTAAACTCAATAAGAATACAGTTTGATAATCAACCATAGTTTCATACAGACACACGTGGAACACAGGTGTGTTGGTTTATACTCTCACAAAGTGTGTAAAGGACACATGGGGGGG